TAATAAAAGATTAAGTTCGACCAAGTTCGAACAACACCTATCGGCCCTCGGCCATAACCTAATAAAAGGTTAAGTTCGACCAAGTTCGAACAAAACCTATCGGCCCTCGGCCATGACCAAATAAAAGGTTAAGTTAGATAAGTTCAAACAACACCTATCGGCCCTCGTCCATGACCTAATAAAAGGTTAAGTTTGACTAAATTCGAACAACACCTATCGGCCCTCGGTCACGACCTAATAAAATATTAAGTTTTATCGAGTTCGAACAACACTTATCGGCCCTCGGCCACGACTTAATGAAAGGTTAAGTTCGACCAATCTCGACCAACACCTATCGGCCCTCGGCCACGACTTAATGAAAGGTTAAGTTCGACCGAGCTCGACTAACACCTATAGGCCCTCGGTCACGACCCATTTAAAGGTATGATTCGTCCAAGCTCGAAAAACACCTATCGTCCCTTGGCCGCAATTTAACTTAAATGCATGTTCAACTAACTCGACCTAAGTCCAATACACCCATGACCACTTAACGCCATGGCCATCGCAACTTAGAAAATAACAACAAAGAAAATAAGTACAGAAACAAAGGTAAGAAAAGTGCATATGAAACAAGAACAAACTTTGATATTTAGATGAAGAGTCTTTACAAAGGCGCTTGAAAAAGCCAACAAAAATATACAAGAAGTGAAATAAAAAACTAGTGGCATCACCATCCCGACCTCTTACGCCCTCTCCATACTCGCCCTGACCGTAAGCAGAGGCATACCAAGCACTATTCGCAAGCCGGTCCACACCCTCTCCCTCATCGTCCTCAGAATAAAGTTGAGGCGTGGTAGTTTCATAGTCACAGGCGAGCCGGGCCTCATGAGCTTTAATACGAGACTCCTCAAGAGCCTCTCAGAAATAGAGCCCGCCTTATTCAAATCATGGATCACATCTAGACGGGCTTCAGCGTAGTTCCACTCCTTGTTCTGCTCTCGAGGAATATTAGGATACTCAGAGGCATTAGACGTAGAGGGTCGCGCAAGTAGTTAGGCATTCTCGGCCTCGAGAGTAGCAACTCGGTCATACAACTCAGGGTTCTCCTTACCTAATTCCCCAACTTTCTCCTCCAACTTAGCCTCCTTAGCTTCGGTCGCAGATAGAATATTGTCCCGCTCGGAACGGAGAGCCATGTTCGCCAACTCCAAAACCGCCATCTCCGTTCGAAACTCCGATCGAGAGGACTCTGCCTCCTCGAGCATCCGCTGCTTCTCGGTGACTTCCCCCCTCTGAGAGTGTCGATCTCAAGCTGGCATTCGTCCAACTGGCTTCGCAGCTGAACCAGCTGATTCTGGAGGTCACTGCATTGGGCCTCCATGCCCTACTCAGCTTGAACTCCTCCTCTTTTCTCCTCAACGCTCCCTCGAGGACGCTGGATCTCTCCACGACCACCATCGGCTCCTCGTCTTTCAACTTCAGCTCTTTTCTTAAGGCTGGCACATCGCCCTCCTCGCAAAGCTAGGCCCCGGTACTTTCCATGGTACTCTTCATAATTACCCTTCAACTTCACATAAATTTCTTTCCGTCTCTTCTCCCTTCGAGCACTCTCAATTTCCAGAATGTCCATCTACAAATCAAAGAAAAGGCAAAAGTTAAAACTTAGAAACGAGTTAAGACAAAGGGAAGAGAACGAACAATAGCCATACTTACGCTGAGAGCAAGATCGATAGTGTTCTTTGACAGGGTACTGTTATTATCTCCTTGAGGGTCACACCCTCGGTGTCGGAGCAAAGAGGATCGAGAGCGGGAACCACCTCCTTGGTATTTCTCAACAAATCGTGATCTATTGGGATCGTGATGGTCCTTGAGCCTCCCTCCATCCTCACCTCTATCTGAGTGGGTCCCTCATCAATCATCCTAAGATCGTCGGGGTCCATGTCAGAACCTGACTCATCGCCCTCATTGATGACGTCCTTTCCTTTGTCTACGTCGGTCGTAGAAGCATCTGTTGCCTGCCTGGAAGATGAAGCCTCCTCTTGCCTCGCAGACACGGAGTTGTCACCAAGCGTCCTCTCCACGACCATCTCCCTTAGGGACGCAAAGGCACGCCCTCATTAGCCTCTCCAATGTGTAGTCAATGTGTATCGTCGCCGTCTCCCGAAGCGTGAATTCACCTTTTACTGATTCGACGACTAAGGGAACTTCCTTTCCGTCGTCCACACCTTCCTTTTGCGGGCCTTAGGTCCCCAGCACAGGGAGAGGCTTCATCATCTTCGACGATGAGAGAAAACATTTAAGGAGCGGGCGCAACAGCTGAGGCGGAGGCGGAAGGCGCAGTAGCCAAGACGGGGGTGGAGGCGGAAGGTATAGCGGCCCTCCTCCTTATAAACGTGGGCACGGGTGCCCAGTTCCTTCTTGTAGTCCCCCTGACTAAACCTAAAAGAGAAGTAGCATAGAAGTTTACTACGGCACAATCCGGTATGAATACTATCACGACCAAAAGAAGGAGATTACCTATCGAGGGGAAGGCTGGTTTGAACTTCTGAAAGAAGCTCGGCCAGTCACGAATCCCCATGGTGTAGGGGAGAACCTGCCTAACCCAGTCATTGAGACGTGCCGCCAAAAGAGGAGGGCGACTGATGTCTGTAGGAGAAGAAGGATTATTCGACCGACTTGGAATAAACAAAGTACTCGAAAGGGTAAATTCTAAAAATGCGAACATTTATGTGGATGATTCCAGGCCTCAGGGAAACCATTAACATTGGCCGTAACAGCCTTAGTCTTGACAAAGAAGTAGTCGAGCAAGAATTACCGACTACCCTTATCGTCCATCTTCACCACCAAACATTTGCTTCTACGATGTCGAAGATTCAACATCGTCCCTCTATAGAAACTGGGCACGAACAACTACACCAAGTGCCGCAGCTTAACCTCGACAAGCGGGAGAAGGGGGAACGAGTAGCCAATGGTAAACGGGTAGGCATAGAGAGCACAATACCCGGGACGGTGAACGTGCACTTCGTCCTCACCGGTGGGGATCAATTCTACATGTCTGGGAAGGACAAACTTGGTTTTGAATTCAGCCAAGTGCTTAGACATCATCGACGACTGAAACTTCCGGTCACCACGTCCGGCGACCGTTGAAAATCGAACTTAGCATCAGGGTTGCGGGGTATGATCTCCTCCATTGAAGGAAGAGCTTCATCTTCTACGGCGGCGTTGGCGTCCTCCCCGTGAGTAGGGAACACAATAGCTAAAGGAATGGCGTGGCCCTCTTCATCAACATTAGAAGAAAGATTAAACATGGTTATGCAGTTTATAAGAAGATGAGAGTATGAAAGAAATTTAAGGTTCAAAAGGCAAAGAAGACTCAAGAAAAAGAACGGAATCTATGTAGAGCAAATATGGTATGAAGGGACGTAAAGTTTGAATAATGAGGAAACAATCCCTATTTATAAAGATTAAGGCACCGAACCCAAAACCATTCATCATAATTGGCACTAGAATTGAAACAATAGAGCCAATCAAAGGTCACGCGTGAATCGACGCAATGCGTCGGAAATCGGCATCATCATGACGCATGACGTCATGACGTTACTTCTTTTCTTGGACCAAATGGTTCCAGCAAATCACCTGGGAATCTGGGGGTTTGAAATATGCGGTGCACAAAAAGCCACGTCGCTTGTTCGTCACAACGATCATGACCGCTGTTATTCGCTCAGTGAACTCGCCCACGAAGATAACCATGAACGCAATTATGCGCTCATTGATCTCGCCCACGAAGATGACCTCAACAAGCGGAGAGACTAACTGTATTGACTAAAAATTGTCATGATTGTATGCGAGCTTAATCAATATTAAGAAAGCCTTCGAAGACTGCCACATGTTATCAATTTGACGTCAACAAAGGATGAAGGCGAGGTCGAGGACTCAAGAGAGGTCAAGGACGAGGACTAGGACGATCTTTAGCAGAGTAGTAACGACTAGTTTTAGGAATAAGACTTCAAAGAGAGTATTCCAGTAAATATTCCTCCGATTTCTACTATTAGGATTTTTTTGGCCCATGTGCCCTCATAAATAGAAAGATATGTAGCTATAGGGGGGTTTGGACACTCATTGTAAAAAAAATACATTGACATTCTTTGAAAATTCTTACTTTATTATTAACATATAAGATACATCTTTTCTTTAGATTTGTGTCTATCTTTTCTCCCACGATCCGAGGAGGATCCGGATTCTAAGACTTATCGCTATCCATCTTTAGCAAAGGGAATATCAAAGAATCTCACCTTTTTTCGGGTGACTCCTATGCATTTATTTACATAAGTGCCATTCATTATTATTATTTAATGCTACCATCTTTGTTCTTGGGTCATTGAATACTACTTTATTGTTGCTATTAATTGCTACTCGAATAGTACTCACGATATCTTGCTACAAAATTAGTTAAACAATCTTTCGGATATTAATATTGGCTAAGATTAACTCTATTCTATTAGAAAATTTAATTTTTTAAACCTTGATCTAAATTTTGGGTCAAACAACCTTAGGCATAAAAAGTAAAAAAATAAATCAAAAGCCAAAAGTTGATATTACCGACTTATGGCTTTTGGCTTTTAACTTATAAGCGGCTTTTTAAAAGCCAATCCAAACACCATCTAGGATACTAAGAACTAAAACGTGTCAAATTCCAATTTCATTAAAGTAGATTACATGCCAATCAAGTATCTTGGTACTTTCTGATTATTGCACAATTGGATGAGTGTTGGCTCTCAGTATTGAGTGTAAAAATCTTATCATCATAGACCATAGTTATTAAAAAAAAAGGGCAATAAAAAAAACAAAACCCAAAATTTTGGTGGTAAAAAAATGCAAAAAGTAGGGGAAAAAAGAGAAGGTATGCGCCAATAGTTTTCCCACGAGCTTAGGGTAAAATGGTAGAACCGGTTTAATTGAACCGCCGAGTTAGCATATACTATACGGAATACCGGTCCTTATATAATGATGTCACTAAGGAATAAACCCCAACATCTCATCCCTTTAGCTTCTTCTTCGCAGGTTTTAGGGCAAACAGAGGTAGCGGTCGGCCAAATAGATCAATCCAGGTTTCTGTTATATTCTCTCTCTCCTTTTTTTAATCACAAAGTTGCTTCCATGATTTTACTTGTTTTCTTATAGTATTCTATTTTTTCCATCCTCTTTTTGGTCTTCTTTTGTTAATAAACGGAGGTTTAAGCATAGTGAACTCTTGATTTGGTTTGAATTCAGCGATCAGTAATTTTGGGTGTTTTTTATGATTATTTTGCGGAATTCTTTTTACATGTGAATTTGAATTCTTACCTTAGTTTATGAGTGGGCATAATTTTCTTTGTAATCAAGGTGTTGATGGCACATACATGTGGCATTACGGTTTTTTGATATCGTTCTTTCAAGGAATAATCTTTTTCAGTGTCGGACTATTTTGAGATTTAGAGAACCCTTTATTTATTTATTACTACTACTAGTACTATCTTTTATATATTTAACTTATTATCACTTTTACTTTTATTTGGTACGAGTTGAGCTTAAATAGAGCAACATTGTATTGAGTCATAGTAGTTGTTGTTGTTTGAAATAGACTATTCGACCACAACTAGTTTGGGATTGAGGCATAGTTGTTTTTGTTTGATATAGAGTGTTCGACCACAACTAGTCTGGGATTGAGGCATAGTTGATTGTTGATCAGTTGTCGAATATTGTTCATCTTGATAGTTGTCTGAGGATTTTGCACGACAATTGAGATTATATTGTACAACAGAAAGTTTATGTTCTTGATTTTCTTTTGCGGTTTGCAAAATTTGAAAATGCCAAAAAAATAGCTGCTATATGTTTGCTACATGGACGAATTTGAAATTTATTTACTTATCCTGTTATAAACTTCTTATTTTTCTGTAATTTTTGCAAAATCTATGGTGCCGCCAGTTTTTTCATCCAGGGAAAGATTCTAAAGAAACCATTTATGTTTCAAAACAGTAAGTGCTATTTGTTATTATTAGCAAAAAAGCTAAGGTTCTTGCTTTTCCTTTGGCTCATTGATAAAGAGTTTGTTGTAGCAATTTTTTGACATGTGACTCAAGTATTTAAATGTCATAATGTTGTTCTTGCTAGTTGGAAGAACTTGCCTGATATTTTTTCTCATCTAACTGCTCATCTTCAGGTCTAGTTTTCTAGATCCTCACAATGGCGACTTTTGCCAAACCTGAGAATGCTTTGAAGCGAGCTGAAGGTTAGTTGTTTCTGTCTTTATCTGGTTTGGTAGTTCCATTTAACAGATGTCACATTGATATATATACTCTAGTCAATTTGGTACTAAAAGTTGTCTTAGTCAGTTGAAGATATGTCATTGCATGTAACTACTCAAATGGAGTGCAATATATGACATTATCTCAAATGGCTGGGACGGGCTGTATTTGCGAATGGATATTGGTATAGGCTATATAGGGAGGGACCGAGGGTGTCACATAGATCCTTGTCCCCTAATATTTTTTTTGTGTGGGTTGGGGTGGGGGTTTTGTGGGGGGGGGGGGGGTCACAAAGCATTTGGTAATTTTTGAGGCGTCTTAAAAGTTTTGAAATTTAAAAGAGTTGCAAGCAGAAATTTTTGAAACCAACAGCAACTCTAACGTATGTCTTTAAGTTGCTATGTTGGTCCTTATCAAAAAAAGTTGCTACATTGGTCCTTATCAAAAAAAATTGCTACATTGGTTTTATTGGTCAATCAAAAGCACACACTTATTCTCTTTGGAGTTTGACATTGCTGAGCTTAATATCCTGCTGCAGAGCTGATTAATGTTGGGCAAAAGCAAGAAGCGCTACAAGCACTTCATGATCTGATTACATCTAGGAGGTATAGAGCTTGGCAAAAGACACTTGAGAGAATAATGTTCAAGTATGTAGAGTTATGTGTTGACATGAGAAGGGGGAGGTTTGCTAAGGATGGCCTGATTCAATATCGTATTGTCTGTCAACAAGTGAACATTAATTCATTGGAGGAGGTGATAAAGCATTTCATGCTTTTAGCCACTGAGCGGGCTGAACTGGCTCGCAATCAAGCACAGGCCCTAGAAGAAGCTCTGGATGTAGAAGACTTGGAAGCTGATAAAAGACCTGAAGATCTTATGTTGAGTTATGTTAGTGGGGAGAAAGGAAAAGATAGATCTGATCGTGAACTGGTCACACCCTGGTTTAAGTTCTTGTGGGAGACATATAGAACTGTTCTAGAGATCTTGCGCAACAACTCAAGGTTGGAGGCTCTGTATGCTGTAAGTACCCCTTTCCCTATCTTTGTTTGTTTGTTTTTCTCCTTTTCTTCTAGGATTGGGGGGGTCAACCTCTGCCTGGAATCTCACACACTTTGTAAATGATGATCATGTATTTATGTTATCAAATGAGGGATATGAGTATCCTGACTTTTCAGTATCTTGTTTAGATAGTAAATTACTGAGCAAGTTGTTTCAATGTTATTGAAAACCATCGCTTCGTCGCTTGAAGTGATAAACCGATGCAAAGCGAGGTACTTAATAAAGATATGTGCTTCAAACAATAATGCGCAAAGTGATCCAAACGCAAAGTGATCAATTCTTTGGATCTCAACTCTAGAGTTGGATCAATATTGCGCTATTCTGTATTGAATATTGAGATTAGCTGTTTTAATTGCAATTTGATTATTAATAGTGCTAAATTCATGTATGTTATCATTAGTTTTCTCTAAACTATGCACTTCACTTCTTCGGTTCTTGATTTTTCACTAACAACCCCATGGACCTTGTAGCTTTTGTGCACTTTTTCCTTTTAAAACACTAGGTTGTTTATCCTTTCTCTTTTTCTTGTTTACTTTTGAGTCACTAGTCTGCCTTATGATTTCACTTGCTTGTCAGAAAAACAATCCTTATTCATAAACTGCTTATTGGATTAACTTATTAGGTGTTGTCTTGATTTGATGGGCTGCTATCTAACGAAGTACTTTGTTTAATCAGATAGCTGTTTTCTCTGGTATAATCTGTGTTTTATTTTTGTTGAAAATCATAGGATAGGATCATCTTGTTGCAACTCAGATTTTACACTTGATGCCTGTTTGTCCTGTGTGCCATTTGAGCTTTCTGCACAGTGGTTGAGTGTTGACAAAAGCTTCTATATTCGTTCCAATTGGAATTATTTTGATGGTGCAACAATTTAAATTGAATTAAGTTCTCTTTTATATGCTCAGATGACGGCGCACCGTGCCTTTCAGTTCTGTAAGCAGTATAAACGTACAACAGAGTTTCGTCGGCTTTGTGAAATCATCCGGAATCACTTGGCAAATCTTAACAAGTATAGAGACCAGAGGGACCGTCCGGATCTGTCTGCTCCAGAAAGCCTACAGTTGTATCTGGACACAAGAATTGAGCAACTGAAAGTTGCAACCGAACTTGGGCTTTGGCAGGTGTCTATTAGTTTCTCTGATATCATTATTCATATTCTTATTAGAGAGGCGTATAAGTTTTTACACACTTGCAATGTCCTTTTGAGCTTGTTTTAAGGTGCATGGATTTGTTTGTCACCTCTTTATTTGGCCTTTTACACAGGAAGCCTTCCGTTCGATTGAAGATGTGTATGGATTAATGTGCATGGTAAAAAAAACCCCTAAACCATCATTGATGGTTGTGTACTATGGCAAGTTAACAGAAATATTCTGGATGTCATCAAATCATCTTTATCATGCTTATGCATGGCTCAAACTCTTCTCTTTTCAAAAGAGTTTCAATAAGAACTTAAGCCAGAAGGATTTGCAGTTAATAGCATCATCTGTTGTTCTAGCTGCTCTGTCTGTGTCTCCTTACGATAAGCTATATGGTGCATCCCATCTGGAGCTTGAAAATGAGAAGGAGAGGAGCTTGAGGGTGGCCAATCTCATTGGTTTTGATGTTGAACCCAAGACAGAGAATAGAGAAGCGGTAAATTGTTTATTTTGATAGAAATAGAGAAGTGGTAAATTGATTTTTTTTATAGAAATAGAGAAGTGGTAAATTGATGTTGGTTTCTTTTATAACATTTGTCTTAATTATCAATTTCTCACCTTCTTTTCCTTTCTGTTTTATCCTTTTCAGCTTTCCCGGTCATCAATTCTCTCAGAATTGGTAAGCTAATCTCCAACTGAATTCTTTAGATATTTGCATATTGGCGTCTTTTTGAATTTTAATATAAAAAGATAATGCTCAATTTTTTTGGGGGCGCGGGGCATTAAATATCTTGGTGTATTTATAGAGATGAACCTCGTGCCTTACTATTTGGTTAATCTTCCATCTTTTAGTTCTTTTGTTGTCTTGCAGTTCTGGTTGATTTTTCTTAATTTCTTTTCACTTATATAGGTGTCCAAAGGTGTGATGACCTGTGTCACCCAAGAAGTGAAAGATCTTTATCATCTGCTAGAACATGAGTTTCTTCCTTTGGATCTGGCACTGAAAGTACAACCCTTATTGAACAAAATCTCGAAGCTTGGGGGTAAGGTATCTTCAGCCTCTTCGGTTCCTGAAGTGCAACTGTCCCAGTATGTTCCAGCCTTGGAAAAGCTTGCAACTCTGAGGTTGCTCCAGCAGGTTATCACATTTATCTTTAGAGTCCTTTATTATTTGGCATTGTGTCTTACATTTAACTAACTCTGAGTGTGCTTATTTTGCTTCTTTTTATGTTTACAGGTATCTCAGGTGTACCAGACAATCCAGATTGGTAACCTGTCTAAGATGATCCCATTCTTTGACTTTGCTGCTATTGAGAAGATCGCTGTTGATGCTGTTAGACATAATTTTGTTGCCGTTAAAGTTGATCACATGAAACATGCTGTCTTCTTTGGTAAACAGGTACAATTATATCCGCTGGTCTGGAATTAAACCTCTTTCCTACCCTTTCTTTTCCTGGGCGTTGGGAGGTGACTGGATGTTCCTCTTTCTGTGCTCCTATGTTGGTTGTGAGATATCCTGTCCGCTTTATCAATTATCTTTGCTGAGCTACATGATTTATTCTCCCTTATTATAAAAACCATTGGATTAGCTCACTGATTGACATCTACTAAGCTTTTCCCTTGTTTTTTATCTACCTTTTCTGGTATTTTTACATCCTCCATGTTTTGCTATGCATGAATGACAAATCTTGCATTCCTAGAGGAGAAAGTGATGATATAGCTGGGGACCAAATTATTGGGCTTCATCTTTAAGTTTTTGCGCAGTAAATTAGTGGGCCTCTTTAGGTGTCTGTCAAACACTCAAGTTAGCGTAAAACAAATGCATATCTTGCTTGTAGATGGAATGTGGGCTGAATGGTGTGGGATAGTTCTGAGGAGTTGTTCGACTGCTGATGTAGAGTTTTAGCAGTTTAGCTGCTTTGTGCTGGTTCTGGATTTTGGGGCATGGGAATGGTGTCAAGTGAGAAGTTTCCTCTCGTTCTCTGTTAAACTTAGCCTTAGACCTCTGCGGTTTAATAAATTGAACAAGTGATGCAGAACATTTCTAAGTGTTTTTCGTAAATACTTATGGACAAGAACTGCTGTAATCTTAATGAAGCCGTTTATACTATTCTTGGTGAATTTCCTTGACATACTGGCATGCTAGAAGCTTAGTTTGGAAGGTTAGGGGCTGGAGGGACAGACAGGTCCTTTTCCTTTGCTTCAGTTTTAACTGATTATATGTTTCAGTTTTGGGATTGATTTGTTTTATCCTCTCATTTGCCTTGTGTGGAGATAGAAATAGTAGAATGATTTGTCACTCGTCCATTTATATTTTTGTTTCCAGAGTATTGAGGCTGAAGGACTTCGGGATCACTTGTCACTTTTTGCTGAATCCCTTAGCAAGGCAAGGTTAATGATCTATCCCCCTGCGAAGAAAGCTGCCAAGCTAGGGGATGCCCTCTCTAATTTAGCGGAGATAGTGGAGAAAGAGCACAAGAGACTCCTGGCACGGAAGTCCATAATTGAGAAACGCAAAGAAGAGCAGGAGCGTTTACTCTTAGAAATGGTATTCCCTTCTTGAGGGTGTTGGAGTTGCTTGTTATCATTTTTTTCTTGTTTGATGAACTTCTGTTGACATTTCCTTGAAAAGGAACGAGTTGAAGAAACAAAGAGGCGAGAAATGCAAAAGATAACTGAAGAGGCGGAACAAAAAAGGATGGCTGCTGAGTTAGAGCAAAGAAGGACCCAAAGAATTCTCAAGGAAATAGAGGAACGAGAACTCGAAGAGGCCCAAGCTTTGCTGCAAGAAGCTGAAAAGCGCAGCAAGAGGAAGAAGAAACCAGTCTTAGATGGAGTGCGTATAAACTTTGGACCTTTTTTTTGGTTGTTTTGCTGACTTCTAAATGGAAAATCTTACCATTGGTAAACTATGTGCAGGAAAAGATGACTAAACAGGTTATCATGGAGTTGGCCTTGAATGAGCAACTCAGGGAGAGGCAAGAGATGGAAAAAAAATTACTGAAGTTTGCGAAAACTATGGATTATATGGAGAGAGCGAGAAGAGAAGAAGCAGCGCCTCTTATTGAATCTGCATTTCAACAGCGTTTAGCTGAAGAGGCGGCTCTTCATGAACGTGAGCAGCAGGTATGCGTAAAAGCAGAACTGTATAGCATGTGTTTTGCCCAACCACCATAACAACATATTCCTTCACATTTTCGATTGGAAAACTTAATAGGAACAAAATTTTGGATTTTCTTTTTGTATCTTCTTTTTGGTCAACTTTTCATGACTAACAGATCTGGGTTTCTAATAATCTTGCAGCAAGAGATTGAGTTGAGCAGACAACGACATGCTGGGGACCTTGAAGAGAAGAGGAGGCTAGGCCGCATGTTGGAAAACAAGGTCTGTTTATCTCAATGTTATGAGTTGATTGCATTATGTGATAGTATCTTCGGACAAAAGCCTTTGAGCTTATGGTTGTAAAGGGGCAATGCCTTTTGAAAGTTCATGCAACTTGGTAGGTCTAACCAGAACTGGTACAGGACCAATTACATAACTTCTGAACTTCGGATAGGATAACTTAAGCTTTAGGTTATATACCTAATAGAAAAGGAAATGAATTTTTCCTTTTAATAAAATTTCCTGTATAATGGCCTCCTTAAATTACCACGGGAAGGGTAGAAAGTTGAAAGAAACTAGATGTTATGGTGATCATAGTGAAGTTTGTTCTTTTCCCTTGGAAGCTCAAAATCCTATACAAGGTTGCTTCAAGCTGCACGAAAAATTAGCAGAAAAGCTACTTGGACCTGTACCAAATACATACATGATTTGAACCGGTAACCGAGTTCCTCTACAATGAGTTTTGATAACAAATTGTAGTACAGGGACATTGCTACAATTTACTTTTGCCAAAGATATAGCCTAGAGGTAGAAAGTAAGTCCTAGCAGTTCGCTTTCAACTGACTGAATTCTGTTAAGCCACGGTCTTTGGAACATAATTGCTCATGGTTTCTGTCAAAAAGGTTTTATGACATAGTTTGCACTTAATTCATGCTGCCCTTATGCATCAGCTGATATAGGCCTGATTATGCAGAGAATATTCCAAGAAAGAGCTGTTAGTAGCAGGGAAGCTGAATTCAATAGGTTGAAACATGAGAGACAGGAACGAATAAACCAGATAATTCAGTCAAGGAAACAGGATAGGGAGACTAGGAGGAAGTTGATATTCTTTTTGCGATCCCAGGAAGCGCAACAAAAGAGGTTGCAGGAAGAGGAGGAAGCCCGGAAACGTGAAGGTATCCTTCTGGTTAAAGATGCATTTTATGCATTGAATTTCGCTTTTATTGAAGTGTGTTTCACCAAAGTTTATGCTTCTGATCATCCCTTGGTTGCTGCTCTTTTTAGCAGCAGCATTTTGTTGTCATTGCTTATTTATGCGGTTAGCTGACCTTTTTTGGGGTTATGCATACTGGTTGTAGTGTGCTCTTATCTTTGCAAGTCCTTTTGTGCATGTGTAATTGTCTCGTTTATAATTTTCAACTGTCCGGTCGCTCTCAAATTCTTTTTATCCTCTCCCCCATCCCCCCCTTTTCTATTTTTTTCTTTTTCTTTTTGGGGGGTTGTGGTTTTGAGTTGTTATTCGTAATCAATTTAGAATCCTCTGACAGTATTATGAGAATTTTGCAGAAGCCGAGCAGCGGAAAAGAGAGGAAGCTGAACGGAAGGCCAAGTTAGATGAGATTGCAGAAAAGCAGAGGCAACGTGAGCGTGAACTTGATGAGAAAAAAAGGCTGGAGAGAGAGGAGATCCTGCGGAAATCCACGCCTGTGTTACCGAAGCCTGCTGAGCCTTCAATTGTAGGTCGTCCCGCGGAAGCTGGAGGAAGTGCTCCCGCAGCAGCAGCTGCTGCACCTGCTCCCGCGAAGTTTGTGCCCCGGTTCAGAAGAGAAAAAATAGATGGGGCAGGCCAGACCCCACCCCCTGAAACTGACAGGTGGGGCAGTGGAAGCAGGCCTGACGATCGGCCATCTGATAGATGGCGTGACGAACGAAAGCCGCCCTCATTTGGTGGTGGGTCAAGGACCAGTTGGTCAGGCTCTAGGCGCTGAATTGCAGGGAATTACGTTGCGGCCTCAGTCAAGACGTTGCATTGTCACTTGTCAGGATATTTATTGCATAAATTCAATTTGGGCCTTTTGTTGTTAAAAAATTTTCTTGTGGCATTTTATTTCTCGTGTATCTGGGATTTTCTCGTATAGCGAAGCTCAATAGTAGCATTTCTTGAGTAGGATATTTTGTGGACGTTGTAGAGCTTTAAGTTTTGAACTAAACCTTTTGGTCCGCGAATTTGGTGATGAATAAGAATTTACTCTTTCCTTTGCATTAGTACGATAAATTATTGTTTGATTTTTATTTCAGCTAATCATGTCAACTACCTGGAAATTGTTGGGTAATATAAGATTTGGACGTTACTATTTAAAGGCCAAAAAAGAAAAATGTGGAGAATAGTATCATTTTCCCGTTTATACGGGTCGTTATCATAGATACTCTTGGGAAATACCGAGGTTGTTTAACTTATAATATTTACCATTTTTTATCAGGTTACCAATTCATGCTTTATATAGAAATTTATTTATTTGTTACTATTTTATAAGTAATTTATCTGTGTAGATAATTTGTACACCTTCATTGCATATGAATCTTATACGATATCTTTCTCTTGCATATCTTGTTTGTCAAATCGTAGAGTTGACTCAGCCAAAAATCTTAGAAAGTTACCATAAATAATCACAGAGCAATGACACGTCTACATTGGCCACAAAAAAATAATTGTTCTTTTTCGTTGCGTTTCTCCTTTGGTATCAAACAAAATTCCTAAAAATTAGTTTTTGTACTTACAAGCAAGAATAATGCCTTCTCCACATTCAGCGGCAAATATCTTTCATTCCATAACGACCTCTCATCACTTCTTCTAATTCTTTTGGGATCTTATAATGGCCTCTCATCACTTTGAAACGACGTTTTATACTCCCAAGTTAGACATTAATTTCTTATATATTTTTAACCGGCGATTTGTTTGCATGTCGACTATTTTCATTAAGTATCAGTTACCTTCTACCAACATCAGTTATCAGGTGATTCTGTCAACTAAGGCTCACACAAATGAACATAACTTTTGTTTCCATTGAATTTTGAAGCTGAACCTAATGATTCTTCACCCACTTTATTGACCATGACTTTGAGGGGTCGTTTTGGTATGGGGATAGAGGATAATAATCTCGGGATTAGATGCCAGATTATTTTATACTCCCTCCGGTTCACAATAAGTGTCCAAGTTGCTTTTTCATTTTGGTTCAAAATAAGTGTCCAATTATGTAATCAAGAAAGAATTCAATTTGTTTTTACAAAATAACCCCTACGTACATATCCCTAAAAAGTTTTCTTACTCCTCACATTACATGTTTAATTAGGGGTAGTTTAGTCATACTAGGTATTTTTGTATAGGATTTAGTATTTTCTTAATGGGCATGCTAAAAGCAAATTGGACGCTTATTGTGAACCGGAGGGAGTAGCTCTTTTGGGTGAATTTTTTAATTCGGGATTAGCAATCCTGTGATTAATTAATCGCACAATTGAGTATTATTCTATCTGAGATTGAGGGCCGGATAATAATCCCGAGATTAATTAATCCCGGGATAAAAATTAAAATGATAAAAATGCTATTTTCCAAGGGTCTTCCCCCAAAGCTTTCTAAACAATCCAATGTTAAAATTGAAAATAAAAGTTTATCCCAACTTATCTCGTATACATCAAACAAATGTTTATATTAGACCATGTATATCCTATTTTTAGTCAAATGAACCAAACGTCTTCTAATATACATATATTCACTAAATAATCCCGTTATTATTTAATCCCTGTATTATAATTCCATCATTATAACTTGTTCGCCTGCCAAACGACCCTAGAGTGCAAAAAAACTGACCTTGGCTTATTTAATGTAGGTCAACTGCTGCCCTCTTTTTTTTGTTGTATATATATATATGTACATGTGTTGCATATCAAGATATTCATCATTATGGAGTGCACACTTCAAGAAAATACTCATTTTCAAGCCCCAGAAATGTCAACCAATCGACAATCCACAGACAACACTCGAGCAAAATATATGTTGAAGTTGAAGGAGAATTTGATTTTCAGATCAAAATGGGCTGAACTAAATGGTGCAATGGGGGATTTAGGCACGTATATACCTATAGTCTTGGCTTTAACACTAGCCAGTGACTTAAATCTTGGTACAACATTAATATTCACCGGTGTTTACAATTTTGTGACTGGTGCTATTTATGGTGTACCAATGCCAGTCCAGCCTATGAAATCTATTGCAGCTGTTGCAATTAGTAATCCTGATTTTGGCATACCAGAAGTAATGGCTGCTGGAATTTGCACTGCTGGGATTTTATTCCTTTTAGGTCTTACTGGATTAATGCAACTTGTTTATAGGTTAATTCCTATTTCTGTTGTTAGGGGAATTCAACTAGCACAAGGACTGTCATTTGCTATGACTGCTGTTAAGTACATACAAAATGTTCAAGACTTTGCCAAGTCGAAAAAGACAAGTCCGAAGAGGGATTGGCTCGGGTTGGATGGGTTGTTGTTGGCTTTAATTTGTGCTATTTTTATTATAATTGTGAATGGGGCAGGTGAAGATCAGAATGAAATCATTTGTGAAACAGGTAATGATAATAGGAGGAAAAGGTTAAAGAAAATAATTTTTTCTCTTCCTTCAGCTTTTTTGATCTTTTTATTAGGTGTTGTTTTGGCTATTATAAGAGGGCCTAAAGCTGTGAAAGGGTTTAAGTTTGGACCATCACCTATTGAAATTGTGAAAATATCCAAAAATTCTTGGAAACAAGGGTTTATTAAGGGTACAATTCCTCAACTCCCTTTATCTATATTAAACTCTGTTATAGCTGTGTGTAAACTGTCAACAGATCTCTTTCCAGAAAAGGAAATGACTGCTACCTCGGTGTCGGTGACGGTCGGGTTGATGAACTTAATAGGGTGTTGGTTTGGTGCAATGCCTTGTTGTCATGGTGCAGGAGGGCTAGCAGGGCAATACAAATTTGGTGGTAGGAGTGGTGGGTGTGTGGCACTTCTTGGTGTGGCTAAGTTGGTTTTGGGGCTGGTTTTAGGGAGTTCAATGGTTAAGGTTTTGACCCAATTTCCTGTTGGGGTATTAGGTGTTCTTTTGTTGTTTGCTGGAATTGAATTAGCTATGTGTTCAAGAGATATGAATTCTAAGGAAGAGTCTTTTGTTATGCTTCTTTGCACAGCAGTTTCATTGGTTGGGTCAAGTGCTGCATTGGGATTTTTGTGTGGGATTGTGGTTCATTTGTTTCTTAAGATGAGGAATATGGGTGATGGTCATTCTTCTTGTGGACTTTGGTTTAGTAGAAACCCATAACACAGACAGTCCGGTGGACAAAATATTCTGCTTTCATGCATGGTCCAGGAAGGGCCTACGTTAATGCAAGCAGTAGAAAGCTATAGCAACTTTGCAAGTTTGTGTTGTGCATCTTCTTGTAACTAAATAAGTTTGTGTGATTGAAAGTGGAGACTATCGTCTCACAATATTATTTTTACTAGCACAATTAATAGGGGTATGTTTTCAATTATTCAATTTGGTTTTGCATTATTCCCTTTCTGTTTTTTGGTTTTGAAAAAAATGAAATCTATTCCGAACTAAAATAATTTTGATTTGGTTTTTTTTCTTTCGATTCATTCTTTTGTCGATTTGGTTTTTTGGTTATTCGATTGTACCATAAGAAAATATTTAATCTAATATACTCGAATAGTTATATTTGACCGGCAAAAAAAGAATCACTATTATTGAGAATGAAAGTGACTTTAGATTTACTAACTGATTCCCCTCTATTTCCTAACTAGTGCATTTCGCCGCGCTTCGCGCGGTTTTATAATTTATTTTTTGCGTCCAAATTTTTTAATTAGACTATAGTGATAATCCTTTTGAAATTATTTTTGTTATATTACAGAAGAGATATTTGTCAATTCCTACTTAAAATAGAGAGTACTTTCACTTCTATCAATGTGTTTGCATATAGAGATAGATCTTATGTATTTTAATGTTTACTTTCTCTGTTTCATTTTCATGTGAAACTATTACTTTTTGGAAATTCAATAAAGTTACTTTTGAGCGCATTTTTAAAAAATACTTATTAAATATCTTGAGTTACTAACTATTTTGATTTATAGTAATTTAGTTTATAATATATGTAAATTTATTTTTAAAACTTTTAAAATTCTATGTCCGAATTCACATGGGAAATTAGTTAGTTTGTCCCTTATACTCGAAAAAGTTCACATAAATTGAAATGAAGGAAATAATATTTTATTTGTACATTTAAATTTTCTTAGATAGTTATTAGTGATTTTTTATAATTTTTTCTTATTTTTTAAATAAAGCATGAAGTAGTAAAAGAGAAAGGATAAATAAAGTAATTAAAACCTACCATATATGAAACAAAGTAAATGAAATATTCTTCTGAAATTAAGCTTTGATTCGGTCGAATATTTCCTTTCCTTTCTTTTTATTGTAATATTGGCCGTGGTTTCTGATAAGAACTTCTAACCCTAGCTTTTTGCTTCCCCTCATGATATGATATTTTAAACCCCTCACCAAAAGCTTTCTTATTCCTTGTTTTGGTGACTTGAAGAGTGAAGAAAGAGTGATTCATATAGTATTTTGAATCCACTTCAAGCTATCATGATAATTCACTAATTTTGGAGTAAACAATCTCTATTATGGTGTGGTGATGATTAAAGCGGAGGTCAAGATAGTAAGAGTTTTGATGATTCTTTAAAATTACGAATGGCCTTGGATTGTTAATGCCTTGGTTTTCTCACTTCACTCATCCTTATATCTAACCCATTTATGCAATGCACACTTCACAAGATTTGGATTTGATTTGTGGAAAAGTGAGACAGTGAATGCATATGGTATTCTCAACTGTTTTTCAAATATGGTATTCTCAATTGAAACGTTATGTAAGGGATATAAAGGAGAGGTAATTGAATAGAAGAAGGAAAAAAAAAAAGACATAATTGTTGAAAATTTGACCATCCTAATTTACTGCACTTCTTTATTGCCTTCATAATTCTTTATGGCTATTTATTTTACATTTATAGGTACACATTAAATTTTGTTGTAAACTCATGAATATGTTGAATTTCTTATTAAAAATAAGGTGAGAAGCCAAAAAGCTCAGAAATTAGATAATGTCACGACCCCAGTTCGCCCTCCGTGAACTGTTGTGACGGCACCTAGTCTCTACTACTAGGTAAGCCTAACAAATACGGAAAAAAAGAAACAATTGCAGAAGAAATTAATTAAAAACCGAGATAACAAGGTTAAACAGTGTTTAAAGATGCCGCCTGACATATAACAGTACAAGAATCTCAATCTAACACTCCCAAAATCCGGAACCCCATGAATCAAGCTAAAAGATTACATAATAAGCTCTAACTCCAGAATGTCTACCAACAAGGGAAAATACAGAAAAGGGGCTATACTAGTACTGAGAATAGAAAGGGACTCTTCGGTCTGCGGACGCGGCAGATATACCTCGGAGTCTCTACAAAACACCTCGCCTCAAGCGTGATAAGTCTGAGTGGGAGTACCTGGATCTGCACATGAAAAACATGCGCAGGAAGGGCATGAGTACACCACAGCGGTACTCAGTAAGTGCCAAGCCTAACCTCGCTCGGGTAGTGACGAGGAAGGTCAGGGCCCTACTGAGGTTAAAGGAAATACAAGATATAACAGTGTAGAATAAGACAGTATACTTAAGTGCAACAGTAGAAAGTAACACAGGATAGAAGAACAACAACAACTTTAACAGAAACAAAGTAATCACGGAAATAAATAGAGCTCAACGCAGAGATAACAACCGGGGGATCTCCCAGGATACCGTCCTATATTCCCTAAATATAAATATCCAGTGGATCTCCCGGGTGCAGTCCCGTAGTCCAACTCATAATGCGCGGGGATCTACCAGAATACCACATCCGTAGTCCCAAATATAAATACTCAATACTGGGGGAATCTACCGGGTGCAGTCCTGTAGTTCCAATATAAAAGTGCAGGGGGATCTCCCGAAATACAATTCCGTAGTCCCAAAGTAAACATACAGGGGGATCTCCCGGGATACCGTCCCGTAGTCCCAAAGTAAACACACAGCAGCAACACAAAAGAATACTCAATTCGGTTCGAATTTCCATACCAAAATAAAACAGGTATTTCTAGCCTAGCATGCTACACATAATCCAAATAAGGCAATTTGAACAAGTAAGGCAATTAAGTCAACTAAACATGCTTCCCTAAGCTAATAGCTGACTTAAATTACACACGGTATGAACAGGAAACAGGAAATCACATTTATAGTTACTTAAGGAAAACAGATTTTCAATAATTAGCACAAGTACGCACTCGTCACCTCACGTACAGGGCATTTCAATTATCAACAAACCAAATCCTAAGGGGAGTTCCCCCCCCCCCTCCCCACAAGGTTAGACAAGCCACTTACCTCGAACCGGCTCCAAAATCAACCCGAAACGACGTTCTTGCCACGAGTACTCTGAATGGCCCAAATCTATTCAATTCAATTGCATAATGTAAATAACACTTCAAGTAACCGATTCTACAAATAAATTCTAAGCTAATGTGCGAAATTAGGTAAAATGACCAAAATGCCCTCCGAGCTCACGTCTCGGGAATCGGGTAAAATTTACATTTTCAAAATTCTCATACTCTCACGAGTCTAACCATATCAAAATTACCAAAATCGGACCTGAAATGGTCCCTCAAATCACCAATCAAAGCTCTCCAATTAACCAAGCCCTAACCCCCAATTTACCACTGATTTTCCTTCAAATTTCATGCTAAAATGGATAAAAATCACCATAATAACGAGCTTAGGTTCCAAAAATCTTACCTCCTTGAAGCTCCCTTGAATCCTCTCCCAAAAACCTCCCAAAAGCTCAAAAATCCGGATGAAAATGGTGAAAGAATGGGCAAAAATCGCGACTAAACCTATATATATGTTCTGGCCCAGGACTTCCGCACCTGCGGACATTTCCCCGCACCTGCGGTCCCAGGTGCGCATCTGCGAGATTTCATTAATTCCCCTGGGCTGCACTTGCGCTTCCTCTACCGCACCTGCGCTCACGCAGGTGCGCTCGAACTGCCGCACCTGCGGAAACTGGCCTTCCCTCACATGGCCGCATCTGCGGCGCCGCACCTGCGGTCGCACACACGCAGGTGCGGTTATGACAGGAAACACAACTTCAGCTGCCAACTCCAAATGCCTAACTCTCCGTCAACCATCCGAAATCATCTCGAGGCCCCCGGGACCTCACCCAAAAGCACGAACAAGTCATATACCACTATCCAAACTTATACCAATCCTTAAAACACCTAAAACAACATCGAAACATCGAATCATCATCGAATTCAAGCCTGAAAATTCCAAAAATTTCCGAATTACGCTTTCGATCAAAAAGTCTATCAAACCTCGTCCGAATGACTTGAAATTTTGCACACACGTCACATTCAACACTACGGAGCTACTCCAACTTCCGGAATTCCATTCCGACCCCGATATCAAAATCTCACTATCGAACCAGAAACTTCAAAAATTCAACTTTCGGCATTTCAAGCCTAAATGAGCTACGGACCTCCAAAACACAATCCGAACACGCTCCTAAACTCGAAATCACCCAACGGAGCTAACGGAACCAACGAAATTCCATTCCGAGGCCGTCTTCACACTGCTCCGACTACGGTCCAAATTCTAAAACTTAAACTCTCATTTAGGGACTAAGTGTACCAAAACTCTCTGAATTTTCAAATAAATCTTCTCGGCAACTCACAATAGCAGACACAAACACGGGGAATGCAGTTAATAGGGGATCGGGGCGTTAATTCTTAAAACGATCGGCCGGGTCGTTACAGATAAATACTATTGCTGGCCAAAGAGAGATGCCACCTCAGTTCTTTCATAAACCGCCCCTTTAAGTTGTCCTCAACGATCAGCCAGACACCCTAACTAAGTCAATGACCAACTAAACACCACAGGTGTCTATTAAGAGCGTCAACTAAATACCCACACATAATGTGGCATATCGCGTGTTACACATTCACGTAACAACACATTGCCTCAAATTTTAACCTATTTTCAGCGGTAATAAATGGGTGTAATTCCTAATTTTTTCTTATTGAGGTCTCATTTTATACCCAAATTGAGAAACCTAATTATCACTTCCTCTTTCTTCTCTCTATCTCCCCTACTTGTGACTAGGTTCGACCATACTATTTTATCAAAATCTGCGCTCACGAGCTCTAGCCTAGGTTTTTCTACAAGAACATGCCTTTTGTTTTTTAATCTCCAGTGTGTTTGTTCATGAGAATGGTAAGGGAATGTGGAGGTGGTGTGATACTAAAAGAGAGATAGGAGATCTGCATTTTTTCAGTGAAAAAATGGAGAGTTTGCCTTTAGTTGAGATGTAAAAATGGTGAAAATGACATGAGATTAAAAAGGAGAGAAGTAGCAAGAAGAGAGAAAAGCTTCTTTTTGATTTCATTTACAGTTGAAGAAGACGGGGTGGGGGAAGGGA